TACGTTTGTTCTCTCATGCACGACTCCGTTGTAAGACTATAGACTGAATAGCAAAGGCAAAAGAAGAGGTCGAAAATTGCATCAATGTAACTGCATCATGCACAAAATAACTCGGTTATTCTGCCTTGATTTGGTCCCCGCACTCACAGCTAGTTGCAAAGTACTGTTGGTCAAATGAGAATGCTGGTTACAAATCTCCTAGGGCAAGCAACGTGCCCAGAGCTTGGGCCACTGTTCCCCCCTCGTCTCCCCCCTTGACTTCTCCTCTCTCGCATGTTATGGCCCAAGCTTGGTATTGTCACTCCCTCTTGACATAAATCCGCAGGGGGCCGGGGATAGGGGCAAGGCCAAAGGGGCGGCCGCCGTCCAGGGCCTTCTCGTCGGCTGCGACGGAGGTGCTGCTCCTCCCTTCTCGGCCGCGGAGGCAGCCCTACTCCGACGGCCGGTGATGTGGACGCACGGGGCAGTAACTATGTAGAAGATGGGATAAAATTGACGAGAATGGCGGACTTGATTGTAATTTGTCAGAGTTGTTTCCCCTGGATGCAGTAGCCTGGACGACGCGGAGTTACGCGCAATCCGGATATAGGTGGCGATTCTGGTGCGTGGTATTCTGGAGGAACTGTGCTCGATAGGTGACATTGCGGTTGATCGATCGGCGCGCGCGTGCACATTATACATTGCGAAAGATTAATATGCCAATCGCTCCGGCGGTTCTGCGGAGTTTTTTTGCAGCCGTATCATTGCGCTGTCTGGTCTTGGTGTAATAGCAGATGAACCGGTCTATTACCGCGGCAAGGTGCAGTAATGTCAATAACTTACATGAACAAGAGGATCTTGATTTCGGTCAGCTTCATTCATAAGTGGCGGTGGTAGGTTTCACTCCTCCCCTGAAGGGTGTTTGTTCATCGGGGGTAGACACGGTATGCCGCTTCATGAACAGTGAGGGCGATTCTGGAGCAGAAGATAGTTAACATCATTGAAATAATGCATAAGTTCCTATAGCATAAGCTATATATCGATATTGTAGGAGTTACTGCCTGGATGTGATGAGTGTGCGCTTCTTGGGTGAGCGACTCAAAGTTTGGCGCTATACAGCTGCAACGCTGACCTAGTACTGCTGTTGTAAAAGAGACTCGAGTGTTTCAATTTGAAATTCATAGGAGATTATGTTAAGTCCCGTTGCTATAGGTATCATCTCCAACAGCTCGTGAAACTGTAATGTAGGAGCATGTGCAAATGATAGGTGAAAATCTCCCTTCCTGGTAGTTGTACCCTAGCTATTTGCCACCAGAAGAATTTACTCAAATTTACCAAATATTTTCAAACGCATTATAGAGTTGAACTATGTATACTAAGAATTATTCTAATGCCTACCTGGCTTGGAGTTGGCTTCGCTTGGTACAAGTAGGTGAGGCGGCATGTAAGTCGTAGTTGGTAGTTGTTCCCCAGAGTCTTGCCTACGTCTCGATGTGGCCGTCCCCCCTGATTGACATGTACTTTATAAAAATGCATTGAACAGGCAGCCTTCGATATCTACCTCCGTCTACTTCCTCTCTTTTAGGGCCTGTGTAGATGAAAGGTGCAAGTTCAGTTCACGTTGGGTTGATGACTCAGCAGCCTGGCCTCCATCGCTTTGCTCACCAGTTTCCGTCAAACGAACGAAGAATGCCATGTCACCACCGCATGGGCTTTTCTCGCTGTCCAGCCCACCCCTCCTCCAAGTGCCGGGCAAGCTGCTCCGTACTTGTGCGGCCGACGAGTCCACTGTGGCTTCGGTGCGGATATCGAACTTGGCCATCACGATGCCTCACCTCGCCTAGCCTGAACCCTTTTCTTGGGCGGGCAGAGGGAGGGGGCGCGGGCATAGCAACGAACGGGTGAATCGGCACCACGAAGGATTCCAGCTGTGGGCAGGCGAGATGGTGCCATTCTTCTCGCCAAAGAAAACGGGTATTTGGATTCGACAACTCCATTCTGCGAGTTCCAAAGGAAGGCTCCGCCCAACCGTCCGTTTTTCTTCCAGTGTCCAGGCACAGGTACAGGTTCGCACACGCCCGGGCTCCCGTAAGCAGAGGCTCATTTAGGATTGGCTCTCTCGTTCCATAAATTTGGTCTAGTCTCCAACCTGCAGGGTTCTATCGTCGAAGGAACAAAACAACATGGATGGAAGGATAGCGAGGAACAGCAACGCCTGTCAGCACCACCGACTTTGTGCCTCTCGCAGGTTCTCGGGTCCAATGAGATGTCGTCCTCGACCGACTCCCCCCCCCTCCCTCCTTTACAAATCCCCGGACCCCCGGTTCTTCTAATCTGGGATCGTTTCCCGCATTTTAGTGTCCAAGGTCAGAAGAGGAAGAGAAAAAAAAAAGAGGGTGTGGCTGGCTGTCGCTGGAAGTCGCCTTGGTGAACCACATGGCGCCAAAACTCCACACATGAATGCTACAGGTAGGGTTCTGACGGCCACGCTTCGCGACCCGCATTCTGATGGGAGACGCTGTTGATCCTTTGACGTGCAGAAACAAGGTGAGTGGTCTATCTGACCGATGCTATTCGCTGGTTGCATTCCAGAGTGCGACGCTGTCCAGGTCGGTTGGTCCCTTGGTTGGCCCGGGTTCCTATTGAGGAAGAAGAGACGGAACGAGCTCGTACATGATGAATATATGCGGTGCTCAATATAGACAGCTCGAAATGTCCGACTTGAAAGAGATTGGCTTCAGTATGAGGGAATTGAGCAACAAGGATTCCCCCCCGCTACCAAGCGGCCATGCAGGTTCACCACCTCACCTGCGTTGTGTCCATCGGACGGTAGCGTATACCGCTTCAACCCAGTGTCGAGTGCGAGAACCCTCGGCACGAATGGTTCGTTTAATCTCTTTCCGTGTATCCCAATCTAGGGGGGAAAGCCATCATCGCCTTGGTTTTCTTGGCAACATCGGGGTCCCTCCGCGAGTTCCCCGCGAGGGTGTGTGAATGACAGAGGATTGACTTGGAGCCGGAATCTACAGAAATGCCAAGACGCTTTCCCCTCCGTCTTTGCTTCTATCTGTGCCTGCCTCGCAGCGAAGTCACCGACAGCCGGGTTGGTGCCCCTTCATGCATTGGTGTCGGAGAGGAGTGGACGCGCGCGCCAAGATGGGGGACGTTGGTGCATCTCAACGACGGCAGAGCTCGGTCGCCGGAGCATGGAGGCGTACTCATGTCGCCTTGCCTGTCCTTGTTCGTCTCGCATAGTACTTTGGGAAAGCCAAACCGAGGATGCGACGGTGAAGCTTCAACTCTAACCATGGAACCGGCCGAACAACTGCAATGGAAGGATGCAACATGTCGGTTCTGTTGTTTGGTCCTTTCTGCACACGCCCCCGACGATCCTCTGCAATGCAAAATTACTACTGCTGAATCCTTCGAAAGCTTCTTCACAATGCTGTCTCCTCCTTGGCCAGCTTCCGAGATGGATACCGTTCATTCCCTGGATCTTCCGCATCGCCAGGCAGCAGCATTTCTCTCGCCTCCTTCTGAATACATGTCAAAGACAGGTTATCAAGCCACAATTCATGCTATAACGTCGGTTCATCGTGGCTTTTCCCCTGAAATGAGACGGATTGGTGCGTCGCATCATGGCCAACCCGTCGGAGCCGAGTTTCATACCCGCTCGCGCACTAACTGTATCCCGTTCCTCTTCACCAACCTTGGTCCCTTATTCCGTGCCTGCCCTGCCATACTTCCCACCCTCAGTACTATTTTTTGTGGCTTGATTTTCCCTGCATTATATGCACGATTTTCAATCCTTTTGCGATCAACTAAAGTGACACCTCCCCTCCCTGCTCGCTCGGCTTCGCCGAAGCCACGGCGGCCATCGGCAAGCCATCCCGCGACTTGACACGGGATTCAAAAAGGAGACCACCAATGAGCACCCCAGCTCAAGAAGGAAAATGGCTCGGTCTTGCTATAGGAAGCTACATTTTGAGTTTTTCGGGTTCTCTCACAGGGATATGCTTGCTCGGTATCCCCAAAGAAACAGCCACAGAGACGTTTCCGTGCCTCCCGCATCGTTAAAGAACGCCACAAATTGTGCAAGTGCCGCGCAGGGTTCTATTTTGCACTCGAACATGCCCTTGAAAACTGCTGCCTAATCGTTCACTTGAATCCCGATAACCTTGTAGACCTCCGCCTCATCTCGCTTGAGGAATAGCATCGGAATCACCGTCGTTTGGTGGCTTGAATTTGAGGCTACATGCCATGATAAACCATCCGAGCGGAACAACAGCCTGCCGCTGGGGGAAAACAATGTGTAAATTAAGACGCTTGCTATTGGAAAAGATGCGAGCCAGCGAACCAGAAGCATTTGTCAATCTACATACCCCTGGAGCATATTGCCCAAATAACCCCAAGCCAACCACATCCTTTCTGTATGTATAGCTTGAAGGATATCGAAGCCCCAAAGTGGGAGCCCGCAGATATAGAGGAATTAGTTATTCTAGTCGTGCGTTTTATTAAAAGACGGCCGAGAAATTAACCGGTAGATGCTACAAGTCAAAGTGTGATATACACAACAATTCAGACTTTGGTTTAAACTCAATGCCAAAGCTGCGTTCCCGGGTAGGCAATCTTGCGGTAGAACGATGCAGGGGGCGAGCTTGTCTCGATCTTGCGACACCCCCGCCATCGACACAGATCTAAAAACCACAGTCGGCGGGCAGTGAGTAGATCGACGACATCATAGCTACGCGTCCTCATCGCGCCCGCGCCGGCTTCTCTCACCGGGTGATCCGGCCATCTTTAATTGATTCCAAACACCTGCGCCACCCATGCGTACATTATCTCGAGCAGTTGCGCAGAGCAGAGGATAAAATAACCACACAGACCACACCCACCACCAACCACCCAGCGCCGCAACGTCGTCACCGCTCACAACAAACGCAACAGAAAAAGAAGGGGAAAAAAAAAGAAGAAAAAAGAGGAAAAAACGACCTTGCTTGACAGCCTCCAAAGATTCAACCATGCCCACACCCACCATCATGCAGAGTGTCGTCCTCGCCCTCACCAGCTTCAAGTCGCCCGTCCTGCGCGCCGTCGTGCCCTGCGGCGTCGCCGCCGTCGCCCTGCAGGCCCTCGTCGCCGCGCCCTCCGTCGCCGCCCGCAACGAGAGCTTCTTCGACCTCTCCGGCTCCCTCACCTTCCTGGCCGTCGGCGCCCTCAGCCTGTACCTACCCGCGCTGCGCGCCCGCGCGCTCGCCGCCGCCCACGGCGCCGCCCTCCCCCGGCTGCCCAGCATCGTGCAGCTCGCCGCCTCGGCCTGGGGCAGGGGCGGCGAGCAAGCGGTGGCGGGAGGAGGGCGGAACTGGCGGCAGCTGGTCCTCGTCGGCCTGACCGTGGTGTGGGCGACGCGATGTAAGTTTGGCCTCCACTGCGCGGAGGAGCAGCGGAGCGTGAAGAAGGAAAACTGACAAGCGCTAGTGGGATCGTATCTGTTCTCGCGCGTGCTCGGGCAGGGGCACGACTCGCGCTTCGACGAGATCCGGGATAGGCCGGCGCGCTTCGCGGGCGTCTTCCTCATCCAGGCCGTCTGGGTGACCGTGCAGATGCTGCCCGTCGTCGCGCTGGCCGGCGTCCCCGCCGCCTCCGTCGGCGCCGCCCTGCCCCGGCTGGCCGCCACCGACGTCCTCGGCCTGTCGCTCTGGGCCGTCGGCTTCGTCTTCGAGTCCGTCGCCGACTACCAGAAGAGCCAGTGGTCGCGCCGGAAGAGGCTCAAGCTGCATGACGAGGACTTCTTGACCAGCGGGCTGTTTGGCGTCAGGTATGTGTGTGAAGGAGCCGCGAGGCGGATCATCGCGACGAGGGGGGACGTAACCATCTTGCTAATACTACCCCTCAGCCGCTTCCCACACTACTTTGGCGAGATCTCCATGTGGGCGGGCATCGCGACCACGGCGGCCGGCGTGCTCGCGCGCGGCCCGGTGCGGCGCGCTCTCGGATGGGGGGCCGGCCCGGCGGGCGTGGTGGCCATGACGGCGCTGTGCGGGCTTAGCCCGCTGTTTAGCTGGTTCGTGACGACGCGAGTGTCGGGTATACCGATGAGCGAGAAGAAGTACGACGAGCGCTTCGGTCACCGCGAGGACTATCAGAAGTGGCGCCGCGAGACACCCCAGCTGATCCCGAAGCTGTGGTGAGTGAGGGCGGGAGGATTGACCCTGGAGAAGGCAAGCGATGACCTACATACATCCATCCTCATAGGTGAGGGCTGTCGAGTGCATGTCTACTGTCGCGTTGCATCCTTGAACAAGATGCCTACCGATTGGCAGGACGCTGGTGGTTCCTTCTCATGTCAGAGCACGAGCAGCCAAGCAGGCATGTCGTGCCGACTGATACTACCGGCTTCAATCACGAAAAGCTTGCGTTGGTCTTATTTTTGGTTCATTTCTTGGGTTCATTTGCCGACTCGACGCCCATTCTTAATGACAGGTTCTCTACCATTATGCATCTGTATGGCAAAGCCGCGTTATATTAAAGTAGATTTAAACATGTTGTTGATGCAGATATATGGCTCATTATTTGTGGAAGGTCTTGACCTTTTCAATCTCGTCGTAGCTGCCCATGAAAATGCCGGCGCGGTCGTGGATGTGTTCGGGGACCACCTCGAGCATGCGGCGCATCTTGCCGTCCAGCGCCTGGCCACCGGCTGTTCATCTCTGTTAGCATGCCTTTCCTTCTCCGCGGGCTTGGCTTCATCAACTCACCATTCTCAAATACCATGGCCATGGGGGCGCACTCGTACAGAATGCGGAGCTTGCCCTTGGGGCTCTTCTTGTCCGCCGGGTAGGCGAAGATGCCGCCGTAGAGGAGCGTGCGGTAGGCGTCGGCCACCATGGAGCCGATGTAGCGCGACGAGTAGGGCTTGCCGTTGGGCTGAGCCTCCTTGAGGGAGTTGAAGTAGGCGACCGTGGGCTGCTCCCAGTAGAGCGAGTTGCCTTCGTTGACCGAGTAGATGGGCCGGCTGCGGGGGATGCGCATGTCCGGGTGGGTCAGGATGAACTCGCCGATGCCGTTGTCGAGCGTGAAGCCGTTGACCGTCGCGCCCTTCATGGTGAGCACGAGCTGCGAGGAGGCGCCGTACATGGTGAAGCCGGCGGCGACGAGCTCCGTGCCGGGCTTGAGGATGTCCGCCTTGGAGCCGGCGCTGCCCTCGGGCAGCTTGTGGATGGCGAAGATGGTGCCGACGGAGACGCCGGCGTCGAGGTTGGAGGAGCCGTCGATGGGGTCGCACGCGACGGCGTAGCGCGCGCCGGTCGCGTTGCCAAAGTAGATGATGTCCTCCTCTTCCTCGGAAACGAGCAGCGCGCACTTGTTGGAGGAGCGCATGGCCTCGATGAAGAGGTCGTTGGAGATGACGTCGAGCTTCTTCTGCTCGTCGCCCGTGGTGTTGGAGGACCCGGCGAGGCCGGTCAGGTTGACGAGCGTGGCGCGGCGGATGTAGTAGGCGATGGACTTGAAGGAGAACTGGAGGGCGTGGCAAAGGAGGCTTGAAAGCGGGCGGTTGTTAGCGAGGGGACCGAGGGGAAGGGAGCATCAGGAGGTACGAACGTGAAGTCACCGCTGGCCTCCGGGTGCTTGACCTGCTCCTCATTGAGAAACCGGGTCAGGGTGACAATGTTGGTGTTGATCTTTTCCGTCTCTCCGTTGGACATGATGGCGGTGTTGAGACGAGGTTCGGCGGTGGGTGGTGGTGGTGACGGAGGTGGGACGAGGCGAGGTAGATGTGAAGGCAAAGAGGGTATACAAGACTGTGATGAATGCAGAGGAATTGAGAGGACAAAAGTGGAAAAGCGATGGTTTTTGTTCAAGGTCCCACGATGCGTTTCCGCCAAGCTGGGGAGGAGGCAAGCTGTGTCGCGTATTCTCGGGATCCAAAGCCCGAGAAATAGCTGGGGCCCGGAGGGGGGAGAGGATGGCGGGGGCGGGGCAGATAGAGGAGGGAGAAGAGAGTTTTTGCTGGCGAAAGAGACACGCTATGACGAGGGCAGCGAGGGCACGGGGCCGTTGTGGAAGGGCTTTGGAATGAATTGACCCTCATTTATGTATTTTGCAATTTTCCTCATTTTCTATTGAATTGTTCTACCTCTTCTTTTGGCATCATCGTGAAACCTCACAGTCGGGCGGCCCGGCGCGCGGAGCTGGGAGCCATTACCACATCATTACCATACCATTGGACAGCAACTTTTTGCCTGCAGCGGCTGAGCCAACGGGTTCTAGGCTTTGGGCTGCTGTAGCTGCGGCTATCCGAGGCTCCCAAGCTGGCGGTGGGCCGGTTTAACCACTGTAGAGGGCCGCCAGATCGCCTGTACCTTGGCTGTTTCTGCGCTCCCAGGCGGCCAGAGTTGCATCCTGCTACAGCGGGCCTTGCCTCTTCAAAAACAAGAATATCCTCTTTTTTGCGGGCTTTTGCTCTGCATGCACATCGCACCAAGAGGATTTCCCGGGACCGCTGGAGGAGGTCACGCGAGAGAAGTGAGTTTTGCACAGAGGCTGGAACGTGGCTGGGTTGGGATGAGTGTGGCTCAGAAGCTGACCAAGTACCGAAAGACATTGTGATACTTGTCAACAAGAGAAGCGGTAATAACATGACGACGAATAATAATATGTCGCCGCAGTTGCCCCCGAGAGACAGGATACATGTACCTACTCTGGGGGTGTCTCGCTCCAGGAACGTCTCCCGCGGAAGGATCCGGCAACGTTGCAGACCAAAACGCCGCGCCGTTGTGCTTGGAGCATTGAGAGACGCCAATCAATTGAGCTCATCCCAAGTCGAACCGATAAACAGAGATAACAAACCCGTCAAACGGACCTGACCGGAGTCAAGATGTGTATGCTCTGCAGCCACAGTCTTTGATTTTTATTAGCGTTTAAAGGTAGCTACTATTAATCCCCTCGACATTGCACATGAAAAAGGGGGAACCCTGCGATTCTAGTCCTATCCCCGAGCACGTGTAAAATACGGCCAAATGGGTAATTAGCGAACTGCTATGCGAAAACCACCTAATCAAAGAAAATGCCCGGGGTTGCATTTACCATTTTGGTTGGTCCTTACTACCCATCTACGTAACTGGAACCCGGCGCGTTCACGTGCTGCTTGGGCTGCCAGAGCTGTTGGTGTCCACCAAGTACCTAGCCTGGGGGAGCTCCGGCTACCGGAGTTTGAGGTATTCCCCAGACAATTCCCAATTGTATCGGCTATGTGGCGCGAGACTGACAGCAGAGGCAGACCTTGCCTTTATACAAGTCAAATAGAATAGATGGAGAAAATTGAGAGAAATAAGCATGTTGGACCAACTGCATGAAAATCAGGCCCATGCACCCGCCAAGCCCATCCTATAATGGCCCTCTTAGTAAAGCCTCCCCATGGGCTTACGGCCGCCTTGCATCATTCTGTATTCTGTTTGCTTGCAGATAGCCCAGAAGGTGGACAGCCCAAGTTGCTTCTCCTTCTGCCGCCGGACATTTTTGTGGGGTGTGGACCTCGGCATGTGCGCGCGTTTCCGCCCGTCTTTCATCACCTCATATCTTCCTGTCCGACACGGCGATTTCTCACTCAAAAGCCCATCATCTTTTCTTCCTTTGCATCCATCTCCCTCGACGTTCCGTCTTGAACCATCTCGACGTCTTCTCCGTCACCAGCTTTCAAGTCCCCTACTACGTCTCCCAGCTCCAAGCGCAAACGGCATCACCACACCCCGCCAAGTCATCGCCACCATTATCCGAGGTCCATTCACCTTTCCCTTCAACCTCTTCCAAGAACACACAAAAAACGTCACACAAAATGGTCGCCGACGCCCTCGTCTACCACCCCTCCGTCGCGCACTACCTGCGCTTCGCCGCCACCACCGTCGGCAAGGACAAGCTGCTGCGGCTGCTGCAGTACTTTGCCCGCTTCTACGCGTGGTACCTCCTGCGCACCAACGGCACCGCCGACCGCATCGCCCCCTGGAACGCCATCAAGAAGCAGTTCGGCACCGTCCGCAAGGTCCTCCGCTTCGGCAAGAACGTCGAGCACGTCAAGGCCGCCGCCGTCGCCGCCGACGCCAAGGGCACCGACCCCGTGCTGCAGTACGCCGCCGTCGGCCGCCAGCTCGGCTACGCCGCCTACCTCACCTTTGACGCCCTCGCCCTGCCGGACGTCCTCGGCGTGCGCAAGATTCAGAACGTCAAGAGCCTGACGGCGAACGCGTCGCGCGCGTGGGCGGTGGGATTGGTGTTTAGCGTGGTTGCGCAGGCGTACACGCTGTTCAGACTGCGTCAGCGCGAGGCACAGCTGGACCGCAAGGACGGCGAGGGCGTTGTCGAGAGCAAGCGAATCAAGATGTATGCCAAACACCCCCCCCCCCTT